AAAGTGTTACATGTGGGCATTACGTGCTGGAAAGTGTCAGCCCAGAGAAGGCCGGGGTGAAATTCAGAAAAAAAGGACTTGTCTTCCATGGCCCTGGCACTGCTGACACAGACGGAAATGGAAATGCAAGGTCAGAAATTAGGCTCTAGCCAGAGTCCTCTCTCCAGAGATCTTCACAGTAGCAAAGACTTAGTTTAACAAATATATGTTCCCATATTAAACTGTGAAATATTTTAACAAAACCAAGTTCAAATGTAACTGAAGATTAACATCAGACAACAAAGAAATGGTAGAAGGCATAAACATTGAGCCATTGAAAAGAAAGCACTCGGGTATGGTATCAGCAGTACTGCAAGCCCTTCTTGGACTATTATTCAATTAGATCTCAAGTTTTGAGCCAAAACGCTCCAGCTGGAATTCACAAGTTAGGAGGCAGCAAAGTCTATTGATCAATAAACAGTATCCGCTAGTGAAAGTCTGTTCACTGCGGCTTCACATACACAAGAATTGACAGTGACTTTAGATGCCTTCCTTTGAAAAGGGGGGGAAAGCTCCATTTTTAATAAAATTAAAAAATTGAAAGTCTGTTTCCCCATTGTCCTAGTTTGCCTTGAAAGATGAAGCTTCCATGTTGCCTTTGTTCAGAGCACTAATCCAGTATGTAACCAATGTATGTAGTATGTAACCAAAGTCTTGGTTTCTCAGGAGAGGTGTGGTTGTCCTGACTTTCACAAACACAAATGGACAACATATCATTTTAAGAAGGTTGCAAAATATGATGCAAAATTCTGGAAAAAAAGCAGTAAGAAAGGTGCACACAATTCATGAGCAAGTGTTTATCATTAAATCTCTCACCTTGGCCTGCTCAACAGACATGCTTACAATTCAAATCTTCATAAAACCTGAAGAGACTTTGTAGAAACACAAGTCTGTCACTCCATTTCTTCTTTCAAATTCATTATAACAGCCACTGAGATAACAATGTAATGTCCATTTTATGCAATTCAACTAACAAGCCAAATATGCATCCCTGTAATGCAAATCATTTGTTAATCCTCTCCTGATTAAACACTCATTGCTAGACAGCAAAATTAGGACTAATCATTACATGAAAGACACTCCAATTTAGTACAGAAGACAAAGAGTCTCAATCCCATATTTGCAAAAGAATTTACGCTTATGCATATATAATACACACAAGACTACACAAGCATGCAGAAGAGAGCTATGCAATCAGTCAGTAATGACAAAGGAAACAGCAACATTCATGAATTTATAAACTAAGGTGTGCGATCAGATTTTCCAAGATATTTATACACCTAAAAGATGTCAGTAGGTACCCTAATGAACTTTGAAAAATAAAAAAATGCATGCAAAGTCTTGCTACCTAACTTCCAGCTAGAACACTTTCAAAGCTGTTTTGAAATCAAATCAAAGCAGTTTGTACGTATTACAATATCTCACACATTAGCTTAAAAAAGCCAAAATAAAAAAAAAACCACAACAAAAACCACCCCAAAATCCAACATTTTCCACATTCATACAATTTATTACAAAACTTCAATGAAAATTAGTGTTATGGTATATAAAAAGTTCAGTACATGCCATCGCTCAGCTGACAGATAAAAATGCCTGTGAAATTCTTGCAATCAATACTTGAGACCCGAAGACAAATCTTCAGAGGCATCCACAAGAAGCTGTTGGCATGCTTAGTGTTTATGGTACGTTAAGGCACGATGATTTAGAAAAGTCAGCTTCTTTGCATCACTGGTGAATCAGTGTTTTGTATGTTTTCTCATACATTACACAAATATAAATCACCAGAGATGAAGCTTCAAAAGTAACCAAAGCACAGAGAAAGTTATGAAAAACCGATAGGATACACAATGACTTAAGATGGCAAGTGAAAGTTATGATACCGTGCAAACACACATACATCTATTGTAAACAGGCCAAAAAGTCTTTTAGTATCACGAAACTGTCCAGAATAACCTAGCAGATACACGATTAACTCCTTAAACCCATCACAATGACTAGTCCAAACAGTGTACTATAGCTGGTTTTGTATAAAAAGGTATAGGAAGAATAATAAAACCACATTTATAAGTATGAAGACAGTGTTACCAAAAGAATCAAAAAAGATACAATATAACTTGATTAACATTGAATATATAAAACAAGCCATTTTACAACACGATCTTCAGACTTTGTGTTTGTTTTAACGCTGGTCTTGATCTGCGGCATCCAGCTTTTGCATTTGAACGTTACCATTCGGTCAAAGAAAACAGAGCACCCATCCACTTAGAGAACCGTATACTGCTGCGAACAGAAGTGGAAAACAAAGAGCATTAGAAAGGACAAACTCTCATCACTGTCAGAGTGTTTGGGGTAGTCTGAGCCCTACCGAGCAAAGCAGCGTAACCCAGGGAACAGGGCATTTCAGTTACTGCATCGCAGGGACCTATGTTAGAACTAGATCAGCTGAGTCAGATGCAGTTTGGCCCCAAATATTTATCAGAAATGTCTAATAGAGCACGTAAGTGAGAATCTATTTTTAGTTATGTACTTTCTTAAGCACGAATACAAGGACTGCGTTACAGCTCATCCCAACAGTAATGCACACAAGAAACCAATCTCAGTCAGTCTGGTATATGAAACGCTACTTCTGGTGAGGAAAATGAAAACCACTTATCTAAACAGGGCTAAAAGTAAGCAGTGAGTTTGATGTCATGCACAAACAACTTTTATGACACTGCTTAGGTAAAACAGGAAAGCAAACAGATTTTTTTTCAAGCATTCACGCAGCAGTATTCATATGGCTGAAAGAAGGGATACCAGTTTGTAATTTCAAAAATCACTATCACTTTTGGATGCCTCTATAGCTACTTGCCAATCAACAAGGCTGCTGCAAAGAAAGCAGAATTCCAGCTTTCCCTGAAAATTAGCCCCTGCTTAAGAAGCCATGTCAGATTTGGAACTCGGGAGACACCTCAAATTCTCCAGTCACAGAAATACTCATTCCCAACAAGAAAAAAATAGCTTAATCTAAGCATTCACCTGGATAGAAAAAAAGAAATATCCTAGAAAACATGGTTGTGTCAACTCATTGTAAAGTACAGTGCACCACTCGTCCAGACTACATTTGTGATAAGGAGCAAGGGAAGCTGACAACAGGGTCCTTTGCTCTCTGCCATTCTCACAGAGGGAATTCTGTTCAACACACAGTTACTTAACATTTTAAGGAGGCCATCACTTCCCATAACAACCAGAACAAGCAAGCCAGCATTAAAGCTTTAAAGCCAGAGTCCATACATTGCTAACCAAATTCAATATTCAAATTCAAAATTAGCCTGTTGTGCTACACAGCTACTTTGAGTATGAAAAAGAAACTAGATTTCTGCCACTGCCTGCCTAACTCTAACCTGTTACAGAAGATACCTCAAGATGAAACCATAACTGATGTTTCAGACTCACAAAAAGACCGGAATTTCCAATAAACATGAAGGCTCGGGTTATTGGCGCAGCTGTGCACTGATGTTACCAGCATTAGCAACATGATATCGACATTTTATATGCTCTTAGAACATACTTGGGCAAAGTATGTTTTGCATTTTCAGCATGGATTCATTTCACTGCTCTTTCTTCCTAATCTCCTTATGAGACAATATTTTATGATGCATTAGGTTGATACCGTTCTTTACAAATTTGATCTCCAGTTTTATTAGACTAACCTCACAGTCCCCCATAGTCTTTTCACCAATACCTAGCTTTAATAAATACCTCCATCTGCACTGTGAATTCATACCATTATTTAAGAAAGACAATACATTTCTCCAGTACGCAATTAAAACAAAACCTGCTCAGTAACGTAGCTAGCACTACATACGCCTGCACCCTGATGTACATGGTCAGACAGCTCACAATCCTACATTTGTAAAGGTGTCAAAACCCTTTCAAAGGAATGGGTTTGCCTCCCCCTCAGCTGCTTCCAAGACCACCACTACAATGCAGAGCAACCCTGACATCTCTCCATCTACACTTCTGAATTCCTAGTGAGAGAAATTTGTTTTGTTAGCAGTTACATTTTCTCACTGACCTAAATTCTTTTTCTTCAGATAGCACTCATTTTTTGTTGTAGCTACAGCCCTTTGAGTGTCAAGTCATTAGCAAGAACTTTGAGAAACAGCATCTTTCAAAAAAGAATGACTATTGGATGACACCACTGTCATGTTGTTGGCTAGTTTTGACTCATTTTATCACTCACGCTCCTAATATTTTGGTTTTCTGATATTTCAGTCATTCTTTGTTGACTTCACTGCTTCAAGTTTGTTCCTCTTCCTTTCGCTTGTCTGTAGCAACACCTTATTCTGCCCCATGGCAAACATCATCAGTCAAGTATATACTAAGTAACAAAACTGGGCTTTGAACTGCTTTCCAATGTTTATTAGTTAATTTAATATGCTAATAGCGTTAATATCCATTGAGTCACACATATACACCAGGCTCCAAGCTCCAGAACTGTAAGAAATGTTTCTCTGAAAATGTTTATTCAGTAAAAGGTGGCCTGAAGCATTTACAGGTCGCCTGTGATACCACGCCAGGCTCTGGCACGGACCTGGTAGGTCTGTGTACTCCACTCCTCAGGCCCACTAATGCCTGAGAAATTCTGGCAGCAAGCACCTCTCCTCACTCCCTGCATCCCATATGCATCCAACAGCTGTACGGGATTCAGCCGTGTGTCACAGCCACAGGAAGAGGTGGAATATGTCACTGTGTCATTCCTGGGTAATCAAGCCTCTCAGGGGCAGAGCGCAAGGTGCCACTGCACGTATTCACAAGAATTGAGAATGCCACTGTAGCTGCTGCACTGCGGACTTCGTCTTTCCCAAGGCATCAACACATTACTGAAAAGCAAATAAATACACTTCCACTCACCCCTGACAATTCCCCACTAAACAAGATTTCTGCAGTGACCCATTAGGAATTTTATATTCTCTGGGATCACTCAGCAAAAATGGAATCAATTTGCATTAATCCATTTGCTGACAAAATTTGTTAAGATACAGTTTGGACAATTATGTGAAAATATCAGAAAAACTTGCTATTGGGTGTTTCAATACCATTTGTGTATACCATAAAATGGTTTGCAAACATTGTGTCGTTCCTTGGAAAGCTTTTAAGTCGGCAAAGTAGAGTGTATTTGGGGGTTTGGGAGGTGGGGTGACCATTTCTCTTTCCTCTAAGTATAGCAGTTCTGGAAAGTGGTCTCAATGGGAACGTTCTTTTCAAGATGCATAAACCCTACAGTGTTAGAAATGGTACACCGCTATTTCTAGGCGAGAATTTTCCTTATAGAAATACGCCCTGGCAAACTCCCGGAAATTTTGCACACAGAAAAATGCAGAGAGATAAAAATCCAAGCAAGATTCTTTAAGAGCCAAAGGACAGATAATATTTAGGTACAGGAGTTTACAGACCCGACCAATACTTCAGACTTACGTATTATATTAATGATTTATATTTTTTCTGTACAATGCTTTGAAGACTACAATTTTAACAAAGTGCTACCTTTTTCCTATGGCAAGAGTCGCACAACTTATTTTCTGTCAAAGGCCAGAGACAGAGATGCTGTGGAACAGCCAAGGTCACAATCCAAGTACAACGTCTTTATTACGTTCTCCTTACAATCCAGGAACACAACTGTTTCACCAACTGAGAGCAGTATGGACTAACAGGGAGATCTAAGATACTATTTTTAGATGAACAACCTCAAATAAAAGCATTATTGTTCTATACATCAAGGATTAAAAGCCATAACATGACTCTGTCATCTGGCTCTCGGCACATTGTACACAAGGGCAGGTGGGCACCAACTACAAGGTGGCTCTTGAGGACTCTGCTAAGACCTTGCTATACAAGTTAATTTCCATGTCCCACGGAGCCACACAAGTTCAGCACTTCAGTTGTACAGCAGCAGAGGAAAACCAACAATTTTATCAGAAGCCTACTCTCTAAGGGAAACAAAAACTTGTGCTAGCCCATCAAGGCAGGGTTTGCTGAACAACTCCACAGTTAGAAGAGCTGAAAAGAGCTGGAAAACGATGGTGGTCTTCTAGTCTAGTTTCTGGCCATGGAAACATCCACTGGCAGTGCCAGGCAGCTGTTCCAAATGCTACAAATTTGCCCAAGCTTCACATTCTCTAGGCTCTCAATTTCAGCTGCCAAAAACTACAACACGATCTTTATTTCCTCAAATGACATTTCTCATCAGATCAATTCAGCATTCAGCAGCATCGTTTTAGAAAGCTGGTTGCTATGACAATGCTTTGTGTTGTTCTGTTACATGATGTCAGTTCATTGGTAGAAAGAACTGGCTGTTTGGTTCCTCTAGTACTGTTCTTATCAAGAATCAGAACAGTGTCAGTGAGCTCAGGAGGCTTTAAAACACTTGCGGAAATCATGAGCTGTACTAAAAGAAATTTCAACATCCTACAGATATTAAGTGCAAGATGCTTGGGTTTTTTTCTGAACACATTTCCCTAACCATAACTACATTTCCAGCTGGCTATATTTGTTTTCCACAGCCTGGCTTCTGTTACTGGTTTGTCCCAGTATGATCTTGATGCTTAGCAGAAGACAGACAATCCAGATTTGTAAGAATAACAAGAGGAAAACAGATTGCAAAGAGCTACGCTTTCAGAAACAGAGAAGGAAAGGGAAGCAACGCCCATCAATAACCATTTCATTTGAAAAAATAATTCCAGCTTTTCATAATAGTTGCTCATCTGACATGGACAAGTTGAGAAACTAAAAAATATGCTGTTAGAATTATTACAGGCTTATTTCAAAAGCATTTCGTATTGGACTATCCACATAAAACTAAATCTGTTTTAGTTTTTGGTAACTTGTTCCACCCCTCCATCTCCTTCCTCTACAATCCTTCATTTGAACTGTCAAATATAAGAAGCAATAAGCTCCTACACTTTACAGCAGTGTCTTGCATTTTGGAAGCAAAAAATCGGAAAAATCAAGCTTGTCTTGGAAGTCTTTAGCATGCTTCACATGGACCACTACCAACACCTCCAACATGCACTATTTGTACACAGAAGCTAAGAAATGTTTAGAGGAAACAGAGAAAAGTGTAGGTCAACGCACCTTTGTCAGGGCTGCTCTCAAAAGCTCTTAATCACCACCATCATGTAGATTAAGTCTGTACTCACACAGGCTTTTGTCAAAGACTGCAGCTGGCACACTGGTCACTACCATTTCCAAAATCATCTTTCCTTCCTCCTTCTAACCCAGTCCCCACCAATGCCCCTCTTCACTCCCCTTCAGGTTTCTACTTCTCCACAACAAGAAATCTGTCCATCTTCTTTGGAAACTGAACATGTTCCCTGCGTGTAATCTTTGCCTTTGTCACTCCCCTTATGCTTCTTTTTTGCTAGCCTTGAAAGTAAACTGCTTGAAGTAAATTCTCCTCTTGCTCTTTCTACAAAACCTTTAAAGATGCCCCTATTCAAAAGGGATCAGGCAAACCAGACCTTCCAGTCATCCCATCTGTGTAGCACTTTATGATAATACAGGCTCGCCAGTCTTTTTGGCAAGGATTTGAGTTTAGCACTTCTTAATCATTATGCAATGCCAGACTCTTTCCAGAAAACCCCAATGCATTCAGCAATCTTCTCCCCACTCTGAAATACATCTGAAACCAGAAGTGGGTATTTCACATATTTGGATATCACCACATTTCATTATCCTGCTGTTTACTTTCCAGCTCTTATCTATGAAGGCATTTACACCATACTTCTCCCTTCCCAAAATGTCTGAAAACATCTTTGTATCTGTGCTTTATGAAAGGGAAAATATTTTAAGGTACTTTTGAAGGAAAAAAAAATAATCAGTAAATACATATTTATCCAAAATAAAAAGAGTGAAAAATATTAATTTTTTACATAAATTACCCATAAAGTTACATATTTTTCTCAGCACAAAGGTAAGTAAGGGTGTAAAAGAGCAATTGGAGGAGAGACCATGCTTTCAGGAACAGAGCTGATCCTTTAAATTTCTTGTAAAACTAGAACCTGAGAGATGCTCAAGATAAGCTGTGGTAGAAAAAAAGATTGATATCAAGTATATTTAAATTTGTTGGTAGTTTGGTTCTGTTAACTACTGTGCTAATTACAAGTTTCCTGGCTTCTCTGGAAATAGCAAGTTCAATAAAATACAGCAAATACACCTGATGGGAATGCTGGAGGTTGACATTACCATTCCTCCTAAACTGCGAAGTCTGTTAACATGCATGACAGAAACTTCCCTAAGGCTAACTTCTAGGTGAGGATTCACTTCAACATGCTGACAGCATCATACAGCAACACTCTGGTTTAGCAGGACTGCAACTGCAGTTCTGACTGTGCCTATTAGCCAACAAATTATGCTAAAAGTCTATCAATCGATATCTCAAGGGTAGCAAAAAAGTTCAAAATTCTTTTCTGAAAGCAATCTGTCAAACAATACAATTTCCATAGTAGCTGCAGAAATGTAGTTTAGCAGATTCCAAAGAAACAGCAGGACCTCCACATATGAAGATCTCATTCAAATCCTTCTCAGATTTGTTCACTTTCAATATTTCAGGCCAACTAATTTTAAGCCTTAGTTCAAACTAAATCAAAACAAGATCATGTGGATGCTTAGTTAAATCTGCAAAGCTCTCCTGCT